CTTTCAAAATTTTTCTCGATACTCATATAAAATGAACATCAGTCGGTCCCTTGATTGCGTGCTATGAAAACATCAGCCACCTACTTGCTTTTATTGACGTCTTTTTGAAGTGTCTCACGGTTTTGGCTTGGGGGAAATTGGTCATTACGGGGGGAGGGAGAGATTGCTCAATTGATCAGTTTATTCCGCATTTTGTTAGTGGATGCCGCAAACAACTCGAACACGGGATTCCATAACTTGTATGTTGATCCTCAAAGAGACTCAAACAGTGAATAATTAAGAGATAGATAGCTAGAGCCAATGATCACAGGTAAAACATCTTTTTAAATTTGAGCTTAGGATAACAATATCTCTCAGATGGTATAAAAACATAGCCGATCAAATATTGAAAAAGAGTAATGAACGCAAGTTAACATAAAAAACACACTGACTTTGCTGAAAAAATCTCAACTTTCGATTTTCAAAGAGAGAAATAGATGCCCTTCAAGCTCTTTGAATTTCTAGAACGATTTATGACCGGCGCTTTTTTGATAACATTAACCCAATTTGCGAAAACTGGATCAACAGGTAAAGTTTTCATTCCAAAGGAAATCTAAAAATTAAATTCCACTTTCGAAACTTGAAATCGTTTACGTTTTGGCGCCATTTCCACGTTCGTATTTAAAGAGTGCTATTTATGTCACTTTCAACAATATTTTAAGATTTTTTCCTGAAAAAAAAACAGGACCACCTATATAAGAGCCTTCACTACGTCAAAAACGCTTAGGTAACAAGTCAAAAATTGACTGAATAAAAAAAAAACACACCAAGCATAAATATTCCTCATTTTCTTCGAAAGTCGGAACAATTAAAAAAGGAGAATTCAACAAAGACTTGATCATTGTTTATGGAACCCAAAACAAATTTTTATGCCAATTTAAACCCAAATCAAGGATGCAACCCTTTGAAGCCCAAAAAATGCTTCGAACTTTTTCAGCACTGGGTAAAAATTTGGTAAGCTTTTCGGCGTTTGGGAAAAAATAAACCCATTTTTTGCCAATTCATTGCAGTGTTTAACCCCAATTGTTGATCAGATATTCCCTCACACTTTTTGCGTCCAATTTCTTCTCATTTACGAGGTCGATCTCCCACAATTTGAATGTTTGTGATAAATCATCAGCAATTGGATTAAATTATCAACAATAACTATAATATCATAATTGGGAGAAACTTGGCAATATTTGAGCGGTAATCAGGTGCAATTGAGATGAAATCACCACCAATTGGGATAAAATCATCAGCATTTGGGATAAAATCCTCAACATTAGGTTTAAACCTAGAACCAACAATTATCTGCTCGCCAGTTGCGAGTACCGTGACAAATTTTTTTTTGTACGGTGACAAGTTGCGGATTCAAGTCTTTTCGCGGAGCCCACTAATGCAATGTATTATTCTTTGTCAGTGGATACTGCATACTTTTAGTGGATTCTGGAAACTGCTTGATTTCATTGTAGGCAGTATGTGGAGCTTCACATTGATTTAACCATGTCTCTGGATTCCAAAACAGCAAAAATTGGACAAAAAGTCGAAGAAAAACCTTGTCGCGAATTCCGCAATAAATGTTTTTGAGCCTTGTAGCGGAGTCCGTGACAAACAACATTACGATGCCAAGCTGCAGTACTTTTATGCATGATTATTTTTCGATCAAATCAAAAGTTGATTTTTTTTTCGGCTGGGAAATCTTTCGGCTGGGAAATCTTTGGGAAAAACTTGAAGAAAGATCCAAGTTGAGCGTGAACCACTCGTACTTTTTCCTAAAAAAAACAAAAACCGCACGACCTAAATATGAGTACTAACTTTGTTCATTGAAACTTAATTTACCAAATTTTTCATGCAGGACCAGGACAACGATTCGATTAAACCTTGCATTCGCAAAAACAAACCCATCGTAATTAAACCCAACAACAAAACCTCTTCGGAAAGTACTCATCGCTCAGTCGTCAGACTCAACTCAACCAGGGGCGCCCATCCTTCTCGCAAAATCAGTAACAACAGCATGATGAACACTCCCCGGCCACAAGGGAAAAGCATCCAGCTTGGACCAATGCGGTTGAAAAGAATCAATGTCCAATGTTGAAAGCTGGTCAGAGAAACATTCATTTGATTTTATTCAACTTAAAAATAAAGATTCTGAAAAAAATATATATTTACAAGATAATTATTTGATATACATCCGTTTATTCTGAAATGATAAAACTGATCCAAATCTTGTTCATTCACACCAGTTGAAACATGCTGTTTTTTTTGTAAAAGTTCAGACCAGAAATTTGGAATTTTTAAGTATTTATTATTTCCGAAGCCGACAACAATATCGGGCAAACTTATAAGTTCTATTTACACTGCATCGGTGGTGCAAATATCTTTACACAATGTTTACATATTAGCATCGGGGACAATTCTTGGAAAATGAATCCGATAATTCGGTTTGGAAGGTAAAACTACTTTAACAAAGCAGAATGGGTTAATTTCAGACTTTCGCGATAAAGACGGTCTGAATGATAAACAAGTAGCATCTTTGAAACATTGCCAACTGTTTATAAAGTGTTTGCCACCTCAAAAAACTGTCTGATCTTTTTTTAATTTTTCAACTTTTGAAACTTCAAAACAGTCAACAGAGAGTTGGAAAAGAGTCAATGAACGCAAACCAACAGAAAAAAAATTGACTTAATTTTAGGAGAAAAATCGACAAACGAAATTCAAACAAAAAATATTTGGCCGTAAAATTCTTTGAATTTCATGAGCAATTTAGAATTGGCACTTTTTAATGCCATGAAACCAATCTGAGAAAACTGGATTACTACGAAAAGTTTGCATCCTACCGGGATATCTAAAAACTAAATTCCACTTACGAAACTCGAAATCGATCACGTTTTCCCGCCATTTCAGCTTTCATAGATGGAGAGTGCATTTTACCTGATATCTAGCAAATGAACTTGAAACTGAACTCAAGAAGTGCATTTATATCTAAGGGCATTCATAAGTGCATTTATAAGTATGAATGCACTTCTTTTGTTATAAGAGCATTTTACGACTTTTCCTGAAAAACGAAAATAAAATCATCAGAGACCAATATAAGAGTCTGAACTACGCTCATCGACTATTAAAAATATATCCACGAACAAACTATAAATTTTTTCCTGAAAACTAAGATACCTAAGTCTTCGACGAGAAGTGATCACTTCGTTGTTTAACACTTAATTATGAGTACAAAAAATAATAGATCATAACTAACTCTAGCCACGAAAGGTCAATGGAATCATCAAACTCGGCTGCTGGAACATATCCAGGTGGGTACTTCTCTAGTGGAAAGTGGGTGATTGGGTCCAGGAGACGACGTCTGAAGAATCCCTCGAGTTGAAGGTTGCTGAAAAAACAATACGCCGCTATAGAAAAAGATTTATTGCACTGAGATACACTGAGCTGCTCGACCTGGAAGCTATCGCAAAAGCAAGAAGAGGCCAGGGCCATTAGAGAAATGCGTACGTGACTAGTTACACTTGTTCTTTGGCAAATACGACGAGAAAAATTGATCGATTGATTCTATTTTCACCTTCCAAATCAGCGCTGCAGATTTCTTTGTTGGTTTTCACGCCCAAAAAAACGGAAAGCACTACTTCTATTTTTACAATTTTAATTTTCAGGAGCTTTTTAATCCTTCAAAAAAAAGACGGCGTTTAGTTCATTTGACCCCCAAGTTTCAATTTCAACCAATTTTTATTAAACGGTTATCAAGGTCAAATGTCAAAAGGAAGCTTCTAGGTAAGGATTTTGATTGAAGTTGAGGCGTAATTGGTCGGAAGCGAGCTGTCATTTATTTCAGCCTATACTGTACCTCCAAGTACCTATTAATTAAATACTCCAATACAAACTGGAACTTATTTGAACAGTTTTTACATCTTTATAGAGATTAGAACGTTTTTCCTTCTTTTTCCATTTTATTGCACGTTAGCCATGTATTATGTTGCAGAAAAAATAGCTTTGTTTCTTTAATTTTAAGAAAAAGTTAATTTTAGTTATCACTTTGATGGAACAAATTTGAAAAACACACTTTTAAAGATATGTTCGCAATTTTATATGTTACAAAAAATAAATCTTTTTATTCAATGCAGTCTTAAAAAAACAATTTCAGTTTTGATTAATGTGTATAAAAGATCAGATAGAAACAGAAATCAGTTACCATTCCGAAGTTAATTATGATTTGGAAAAAAAATTATTTATGACGATTATGTACGCACCTTTTAACAGTCTGAGCAATGACGCTTCGGAAGAAAGGCACCTGAAACAAAGGTGAACGCGCGTTAATACACGTTAGTACACATTCTATATTGATAAACATAGACATAGCCAAAACATACAAAATATAAACGCAAAAAAAATAAACAGAGCACCATAAATTTGGGATTTAGCAGTGTGGCTTGAGAAAAATGAAAAAAAAAAATCGAGAAAGGTTAAAAATTTTCATCTAAAACCCCCAGTCCAATTCATTTTCATATTAAATGCTTTTATCAAACACAACAAAATTTTAGACGAATTCTTAGTATAGATTGACACATGACATATTGTTCCAACCATTGAAAAAGGGGAGGAACTTTGTATTCGGGTGTTTTAGTTTTTTGTTTTCCACGCAAAATCAGGCACAACAAATAATCATCGGAATGAGCCATCATCTTAAAGCTCTTTCAGTCATGATTCCAACGACATTTAAAAATTTATAATGCTAAGAAAATTGTTTCTAGTGTTAAGAAAAACCCGGTTTGAAATTTTTGATTTTTCGTGTTATTTCGAGTGAGTAAAAGCGAGCGAGCATGCTTATTTATGCTTAATTTAGGCCGTTTCTAATAGCTTTATTATGCTTTAATTAATTTTACTCTAGTAGAATTAGTTTTTGGAGATTTTTGACAATCAAATGTCAATTTCTTCAAAACCTGTTGTCCGGTTTGCTTATATTTCTATAACTGTCGAATATGACTGTAGGATTGACATAAAAACTATAGTTTTATGTCAATCCTTTTATCACATCACGCAGAAAAAGTTACACTACTTTCGAGAAAAAACGCAGAAAAAGCTACCCAAAAAATGTACAGACTAAATTACAAAAAAGACTAAATTTTGAAATTACGAAAAAGACTAAATTACGATAAAGACTAAATTACGAAAAAAAAAACATATGGAAAAAAAATTTAAAAAAAGCAAAACTAATTTAAAACCGCAGTGTCATTTCATTTAGTCTGAAGAAAGGTAACACAGAAAAATAATTCTCTAAACAGGGTAACTTTTTGATTTTTTAGGACTCGGGATCACAAGATTCAATATGCTTCAACACATGTCCCGCATTGCGCTTTTTTGAAGTAGTCTAAAATAGCTCAAAAAACCGTACACTATTATGCCTTCCAGTTAGTGTTGAGAAAACTAATGCAGGCAGCATTAAATACAATTCAAACAAAAATAGCCAGTTGCTATGCGAGAATCAAAAAAAGGTCCGACAATGGTATTAAATTTGAAAAACTTAAAATTCCAAAAAAAACAATTCCATCTTACGGTTAAGTTTTTGAAGAGAGTGACTTAATTAGTTAAAAACTGCAATTAATATCTAAAATAATGATCAAGTTGTTGTACAAATGAATTCAGGAAAAGTAATGCAAATTTCGTCAAAACATTCAGATCAGTTTTTCTCGACACAGTGAATTTTTTAGAATCCGAATCAACTTCATTCAAGCTTTCATATGATACCACAATTAACCCCCAGCAAGCTTTCTATAAACTAGAGATGAAAAATTAGGCTGGAACAAAATAAACAGAACCACCAGAGAGTTGGAAAAGAGTCAATGAACCCAAGGAGACGGGAAAAAGCTGATGAAAAATTTTCGCTGAAAAAATTTCGACTTTTGAAATACAAATTTAAAAAAAGGCAAGCGTGTCTTTAATAATCTATTAGCTCGCAGAAAATTGGTTGGTTTCCTGATCAAGCTATTCAAAATAAACCATATCATAAATCGGTTTGAAAAATTATAAATTTCATAGACCGAATCGGTTAGCGAAAAGTTCGGTTTCTCCAAGCAAACTATTCAAGCGATTGAACTTTAAAATATTTCCAGTTGTTTCTTAGACTGGAATGTTTTGCAAAAGTTAAAATTTTCCTATGCAAGCTAATCAAGCAATGAACTTTTTCAAGTTATTTCATCAATGTAATCGGATGAAAAGCTTTAGTTTTTCAATTGGAGTCACGCAATCGATATAACTTTGAAACATTTCAAGTTATTCAAAAGAAAAAACTGGTTCGTTATTGAAAGTTGATGTTTATTAAGCAAGCCATCCAAGCTATGAAACTTTGAAATATTTCAAGTTTTTTCTAGACCAAATCGGTTTGCGAAAAATTTAACTTTTTTCAAGCAAGCTGCTATTCAAATTATGAAACTTTGAAATAATCAATTTAGTTGATGAAGCAATCGGCTGGCGGAAAGTTGAAGGTTTTCTATTGAAGCCATTAAAATATTGCAAGTTGTTTCATTGAGTTAATCGTTTCGAGAGTTTTATTAAGCAAGCTATTCAATCTACGAAACTTAAGTCTTTCAAGTTATTTCACAGGTCATATTGGTCCGCAAAAAATCTAGTTTTTTGGAGGCAAAATATTCAAGCTGAATATTCAGACCGAATAGGTACGTGAAAATTTCGAGTTCTTATAAGCAAGCTATGAAACTTAGAAATAATTCAAGTTATTTCATAAAGGAAATCGGATGGCGAAAAATTACTTTTTTGAAGCACTTCAAGCAATGAAATTTTGAAATAATTTAAGTTATTTCACAGAGCGGATAGGACGGGGAAAAGCTCAAGTTTTGTTAAGCAAGATATTCAAGTTATTAAATTTTGAAAACTTTCAATTTGTTTGAGACCAAATCGGTTCGCTAAACGTTCAAGCTTCTCTTAGGAAGCTATCAAATTTTGAAGTTATATCAAGCAGGGAATCGAATGGCAAAAAAGTTAAGTTCGTCTATTGCAGCCATTCAAGCGATACAACTTTTAAAATTTTCAAAGTTATTTCATAGACCGAATCTTCGAGAATATTTTTAGTTTTTGTAAGCAAGCCAATCAAGTTATGAAACTTTGAAAAATTTAAAGTTATTTCATAAAGTGATTCGGATGGCAAAAAACTTAAATGTTTCAATTGAAGCTGTTCAACTAATGAAACTTTGAAACACTTCAAGTTCTTTTATACAGCAAATCATTTTACGACAAGGTTTTTTATGCAAGCTACTCAATCAATGAAATTTTGTAATATTTCAGGTTGTTTCATAGACCGAATCGGTTCGAAAAAGTTTTCAAGTTTTTGTAGGCAAGCAAATCAAACTTTGAAACTTTGATTTATTTCAAGTTATTTTATAGACCCAATCGGTTCGCAAAAAGTTTTGAGTTGTTCTAGACACGCTATTCGAGTGATGAAAATTTGAAAAATTTCGAGCTATTTAATTGCGCGAATCGATTTGCCATAATTAAGTTTTCGTAAGCATGGTGGCTGCTGTTGAGTCGAGTTCATCTTGTTTAAATAGTTTCGGACTTTTTTAAAAATATATCTAGAAAATTCCAGCCTAAGATAGTTTAAAAAACTGAAAAGTCGATTCGATATTGACTGAAAAATTCAACTCAATTTGAGAAAACTGGATCATAAGGTAAAAATTTTTATTCCGCTGGGAAATCTGAAAATTTATTCCACTTTTTAAATAAGAAGTCGATCACGGTTTTGGTGACCTTTACACTTTTGCTGTTCGATAGTGGAGTTTTCCTTTCTTTTGACAAAAGAAATGGACTGAGCCTAAAAAGAAATCAAAAGACAAAAGGAAATAGACTGAACTTAAAAAGAAATCAAAAGTCAAAACCTTCATCGACTCTTAAAAACGAGCATACGTCATAGTTCCTTTTCACTCGTCGAAAATGATCGAATCAAGAAATGGATATAACCCATATTTAAACTCCGCATCTATTTCACTCAGAAACTTTTCTAAAAATGTGCAAATTAATTGCAACAAGGTGGTCTCGTTCTATCAAACAAGCTCCGCTCTTATGAGAAATGCGAATAGACAAAAAGCAAACAACTGAACGTTTTTTTTTTCCAATTTTCTAGTTGCCTGGAACAAATGCATCACCTCACAGCTCTGTCCACTTCAAGAAACTTAAATAATTAACACTTTCATTATAAAACTTACCAAATTTGACAAATCCAGATCAATCTGTTACTTTTGTTCAACTGGAATTTTAAAACTATTCGAATATTTTCACCTACTTTTGAAACGAACAGTTCAGCGTTACTTCAACTTCTGTTATTGGAGAGTAATTCAAGCCTCAGTTAATTCAGTTATTAGTGTATTTCAAAAAGTTACTCGCAAAACGGGCTGCAACAGAAAAAATCATACCGCGAAAAAGAGAGCTTTAAACCAGACTATCTTTATCAAGGTCCTCCTCTAGGTTGGAGAACAATGTAAGCTTCGTTTATCCGTGTTCTTAATTAAGATGCAGGTTATTGAACTGTTCGCGTTTATACATCCTTGTTTATAAGAAGAGTCAATTTCAAAGGTTTTGAATTTATGGTGCAAATTTAAAGTTGAGTTCGCCTTCTTTTCATTTAAGAGATTTCCTTTTCTTCATTTTCAAAGAGGCTATATCTCTCTTTGGAATACTTCTAAAACACGCCTCTGTTTGTGTTGAATCTAATCCTGATAGAAAAATTCGTCTCGTTGAAAGTGATGCCAATAATAGATTAATCAATAGAAAAAAGACCGAATTCGTGCCAAATCATTTTCATATTTATTTCTTATAGCTGCTGTTTCTAAAAACTGCCCTAGAAAGTCAAGATTCCCGACTATTAACCATTTATTACAAATATACTCAGAGTTATGCTTTTAAAATTTATCCTGTGAATACCTTTTGGTTTTTACTGCATATAACACCTTTTCAATTCTTCCATTTGAATGCCTCCGAAGATTTCAGCCCTTCGATTGAATTGGAATAATAAACGCAATCAAATAAGTCAGCTTTCTGATGTAAACATACACAAACATACTTATGGGAGCAACATTTTCAGTGGACGAGCCAGAGTTTTACAGCCACGGGTTCAAAACTGTCACTGGAAAATGACCCAGAGCTAAGATCAACATTATTACGCCATAAAGAGTTCACTTATCCTTCTAGACTATAAGCGTCTGATTTGCAGAGAGAGCTTCTCTTCTGTTCATTAAATGTATCATTAACTTGTATTGAAAAAAACAACCATTCACAAAAAAAAAA